GCTTGGGTACCCCTATACCCCTACCCCATTCATGACGACGAGCGACATCCTCCCACTTCGATGGTCAGCTCGCTACTGAGCCCCCGGCTAGCCTCGCAGCCATATATATGGGACGTCGCCACCCACGCACGCACGTACACACTCCCGCACGATTGTCACCAAAAAGACATAGTATCCTGAAAATTCACCTTACTTTTCGAGGTGATTTTAAATGCCATTGAACTGCTCCATCAACAGAGAGCATAATGGCAGATTCAGCGTCTTTAGAGGAGACTGTAGACACCCCACAAGCCAGGGCTCTGTCTACCACAGGCCAAGAAGAGTTACTGCCCACAGACCACCCACTGCAACCCCACAGCGGGCACTTAGGCGACCCGACAGACGGCGCCTCACACATCAATGCAGGCCAGCATTCCCCTACAATTATACCCTTACACCTTCTAATGCTGAACTTATGCACTTCATGAGGTACTTTGAGGAGTCTAGACTCACTGCAGAGGCAAGATTTGAGGCAATAAGACGAGAGGACGAGATGAGAAGGAGAGAAGAACAAAGATTGTGGCGAGATGAGGACAGACGGCTTCGACAAGAGGATTCCCAACGCTTTCTTCAAGTTTTGCAGACACTACAAGCGTTTAATCACACTCTCCTTGCTGCTCAACAGGCGACTCCACAAGTTTTTCACGCAGCTCAGCCCCTTCCCACGCCCGTTCTGAGACCTTCAGCTCACGATTTCCTCCCTTCTACGCCCACACCTACGTGTTCAACATCCACCAATGGGATCTTCACAACTTCTACATCCCCTACGACGGCTATTACAACATCTTCGACATCGACAGCCCCACAGATGTCTTCCCACACAGCAGTTGCACCCACTGCCATGAAGCCTATGGCTCCTAGCCCTCCTGTACTCCAGGCTGATGCCACCTACCAGATATTCAGGCAATGGCGACGTCGTTGGGCGGATTTCTCCACCATGATTGACCTCCCAAAACTCACACAGGAGAAACAAATTATCCAGCTGCGGATGTCAGTTTCCCTGGAGGTCCAGCGGATTTTGGAACACACCTTGGGCATTTCTCTTGATACTACCCTCTCTGTGGAAGCGGTTCTCGATGCCCTCCAAGACTTCTTCAAAGGTCAACGTAATGAAGCTCTCCGTCGTCGGGCACTACTCTGCTGTCGTCAGATGGAGGGGGAAGACTTTGGACAGTTCTATGTGAGGCTTAGAGGCCTCGCTGAGGAAGTTGACCTGTGTCCTGGCCATTCTGTTACATGTGCTGAGACACAGTTGAAAATGGTCATCCTTATGGGTGTCCGGGACGAGGAACTTGTTCAAAAATTAATTGCCCTCCATTCAAATGCTTCTTTACAGGATGTCGCCACTTGTTGCAGATCCTATGAAGCCACCCGGACCACAGCATCAGCCATTCACGCTTCACCTGTGTGCAGTCTTGTCATATAAGAAGCAGTCGCGAATAGAGAAAAATAAGAGACCAACAACCTCAGGCCGAACTGGAAGCTCCACTCAACAGTCTTCAGGTCAGCCTTGCCCCTCCTGTGGCCGTTTACATGGCCCCTCTGACTGCCCCGCATGTGATTCTACTTGCCGTAATTGTGGGCGTAAGGGTCATTGGGCCAGGAGAGAGAAATGCCCCGCTAAAGCTGCCCAGTGTAGGCACTGTAAGAAGCTGGGACATTATGACAAGTGCTGCCGCTCCAGACCTTATGCCACACCATCGTCGAGCCCACACAACTGCACAGCCAATGCCTGTCGTCGTGCGGCTGACGTCATGCTTTCTACTGGTTCTCCTAGTCCCATCTGTATTCAGTTCATTTACGGTAACAAGTCCTCTCAATTACACATGTTACCAGACACAGGTGCGGACATTACTGTGATTGGAGAACAACATCTCGCCTCCCTCAACATACCGAAGAGCAGCCTCCGAAAGATAACCAGTTCTGCTACCCTCACAGCCGATGGTTCGGAGATGTCACCTGCCCTTGGATGTTTCATCGCAACTTTGAGGCTTGGCAGGCAATCTTGCAAGGCCACAGTACAAGTACACAAGGATATCCCGACGCCTCTTCTTTCCTACAGTCACTGCAAGGCGTTGGCTATCATTCCACAGGAGTTTCCAAAACCCATTCAACACGTTCAGCATGTTAACCATTGCACTCAGCTACCAAAAGCTGCCACCGTTTCTCCAGCAGCTGCCAAGGACTATTTCCTCAAGGAGTTCAGTGACGTCCTGGTGTCAAAGGAAGACCTCCAGAATGCCCCCCTCAAGGCAATGTCGGGTCCGCCTATGCGTATCCACCTGAAGGAGGGTGCGGTCCCCTTTGCTGTACACACCCCTCGCCGCATCCCTCTTGCTTTCCAGCAGCAGGTCAAGGACGAGCTCCAGTCATTAGTCTGTCAAGGTATCATCAAGCCTGCTGGAGATCAACCTTCCGAATGGTGTCACCCGCTAGTTGTCGTCCCAAAGGATGTTGGTGTAAGGCTCACTATAGACCTCACAAAGCTTAACAGTCAAGTGGCACGTTCAACGCATCCTGCCCCTTCACCCCTTGATGCCGTTCGCAGTGTCAGCCCATCATCCCGATTCTTCACCACCATGGATGCCCTTCATGGTTATTGGCAACTCAAGTTAGCAGAAGAGGACCAACACCTAACAACGTTTATCACCCCATACGGTCGATTCATGCACTGTCGTGGCCCTATGGGATTCTCTGCCACAGGTGATGAATACTGCCTTTGCGGAGACATGGCACTCCAGGGAATTGAAAACTGTGTCAAGGTCATAGATGATGTCCTCCTGTATGATGAGGACCTAGCTACTCACCTCCAGCAGATTCACCGTACCCTTACCAGATGCCGTGAGTTTGGCATCACCATGAACAGAGAGAAATTCCATGTGGCAGAGCCTTCAGTCCACTTCTGTGGGTACAACGTATCGTCTACAGGCATCTCACCAGACGAGAGTAGAATCAGTGCTATCCAGGATTTCCCTACTCCTGCCAACATCACTGACCTCCGTTCCTTCATGGGCCTAGTAAACCAGCTCTCACACTTTTCGCCTGACATAGCAAGTGCTGCCCAGCCCCTGCGTCCTTTGCTCAGCCCAAAATGCTCTTTTGTCTGGACACCAGATCATGAGACGGCCTTCTCCAAGGTCAAAAACCTGCTTATCAAGCCTCCAGTCTTGGCACATTTTGACCCGGCCCTACCAGTGATCCTCCAGACGGACGCTTCACGACTTAATGGCATAGGATATGCCCTTCTACAAGAACATGGCCAGGGAAGGACCTGTCTAGTTCAATGTGGCTCACGTTTTCTCACTGATACAGACATGATACGCCATAATTGAGTTAGAGCTTCTCGCCGCAGTATGGGCCATGACCAAGTTTGGTACTACCTGTCCGGCCTACCCTCCTTCACGTTAATGACGGATCACCGCCCCTTGATCCCCATCCTCAACAACTACACCCTCGACGCAGTGGAAAACCCACGACTTGAACACCTCAAGGAGAAAATCTCACCATACATCTTCACCGCTGTCTGGCGCCCAGGCAAGGAGTTGTCAATTCCAGATGCCCTGTCACGTGCGCCAGTGGACCAGCCTGCCTCCGAAGATGAGATATTGTCTACTGAATCTGCCATACACCTGAGGCACATTGTCAACGCTGTCATCGCCAAGGAAGCCCAGGAGTCGCTGCATCAAGACGCCGATCGGAACATTCAAGACCTACGAAACGCTGCCCGGAATGACCCGGACTATATACTCCTGCTCAACTGTGTCACATCAGGATTCCCTTCACATCGGTATGCGCTCCACTCCTCACTCCTTCCATACTGGAAACTACGTGACAGCATCTACGCAGATGGAGAATTGGTCCTTTACAACCAACGCATTGTCATCCCCAAAGCCCTTCGCAGAAGTACCCTCGCTCGACTTCACGACAGTCACCGTGGTGCAGATGCGACTATTCACAGGGCACGCCAAACGGTCTTCTGGCCAGGTATTGAAGCAGATATCAAGAGCACTGTCCAAGCCTGCGAGCCATGCCAGACCCTTCAACTGAGCCAACAACAAGAGCCACTTCTTTCAGATGACGTACCATCCAGGCCCTTCGAGTCTGTCTCCGCAGACTTTTTCACAGTCGCTGGGAAAGCTTTCTTGGTGATAGCGGACAGACTGTCTGGATGGCCTACTATCATTCCTCGTGGGACCGACACATCTACGTCCAGAACCGTGAGGATGTTTTGTCTCTACTCCCGCGAAGTTGGTGTCCCTGTCCGCCTCCGGACAGATGGCGGGCCCCAGTTTTACAGCTTGGAGTTTCAGTCTTTCATGAAACGCTGGGCTGTCCACCATGTGATATCAACACCACATTATCCCCAGTCAAACGGCCATGCTGAGGCTGCTGTCAAGTCTGCCAAGTACCTGATCCTGAAGACAGCGCCCTCAGGTAACATAGACACCGAAGAATTCGACCGCGGCCTGCTGGAGCTACGGAACACGCCCACTGTTGCTGGAAGGTCACCCGCACAGGTGCTATATGGCCACCCCCTCCGTACGTGTGTCCCTGCTCACCCTGCATCCTTCGCCCAGGAATGGCAGGAACGTACAGAAGATTACGACCGTCGAGCTGCAGCCCGGGCTGGCCACGTGAAAAGCCAGTACGATAAACACGCACGTCCACTTCCCAAGTTGAGTGTCGGCGATCATGTCCGCATCCAGAATACAGACACCCACCGATGGGACAAGGTTGGAGTCGTCATGGGTTGCGGCCGTAACAGGGATTACGAGGTGCGGCTCCCAAGTGGCCGAGTGTGGTGGCGAAATCGTCGTTTCTTGCGCCCCATCCCAGATCCTAGTGTTGACCCCCTCTCCCACATCCCTGTGGTCCCTTGCACGGACAAAACGTTCACAGAAGTAGAAATGCCCTCCTATGCCCCACGCAGATCAGAAAGGCTGAGGAAATATGCCGCTTGA